TGACTCTAATGGCAATCTGCTTGTTGTCCAGTCCGGTCTTGGTATTACGGTCCACACCTTTGGTTCTGATGGATGCCTTTCCGGTAGTAAAACTCTCGTCTCGAATCCAGCCCTCAATCACGGTATCTCCCTCACGGCCGACGGCACGAAGCTTTACGTCTCTTCAATGACAACCGCCTTTGAGTACAGCTACAACGCCGCCAGCCAAACTGTCAGCGGCGAACGCACAGTCGTGAGGGCCATGAACCAGGGTGGCCATCCTTCGCGTACTCTCCTGATTCCACCTCAGACACCTCACCTGCTGGTCATTTCACTCGGGTCTTTCGACAATCTCGACCATCCAACAATCAACCCCGCAACGGGTCGAGCCATCGTCAAAGTATTCGACCTGCGTAACGTGCCTTCAGGCGGCTACGCCTTCAACACGCAGGGCTACCTGCTGGGTTATGGTCTGCGCAATGGTGTGGCACTCGCTGCTGATGGCGGTAACCAGTAAGTGACATGTTCCAGAATACGACTTATCCTAACGCAATCAGTGTGTGGGAGGTGGAAAATGGCGCCGACCAGTTTCAACGGACTGTTGGTGGCTCGTCATACGACATCCATGCCGACAACCCTTCCGAAGAACTCAACTACCGTAAGACACCATTGGACCTCGAGCCGTGAGCGTTAGCTGATCAGCGTATTAGTTGGTGACCCCGCCGTGGAGAATCGCAACTGGTACGGCTACCCGACGTGTCACAGCGTCTACGGAGCCAGCCAGTTTACCGACAAGGCATTCCGCACGGGGGACCAATTTGTTCTCACTCCCAATGCGACCTTCAATGACGAGGACTGTGCCCGTCGCGGTTCCGTTCCGCCGCGCCTCAGCTTTCAGGCCCATTCGGCGCCTATGGATGCTACATTCGACCGTGCCACCGAGAACATGTTCATCACGTTTCACGGCTCCTGGAACCGGCCCGTTGCAACGGGCTACAAGGTTGTGCAGGTCGCATTTCGGCGTGGGGCTAACGGCCGGTACGAACCTGTGGAGCCGGCCACGAGCATGACGGCAGCAAAAGATATCTTCTGGAGTCAAAATGAGGGGAGCTGCACCAGTAGCACATGCTTCCGACCTTGCGGCATCACCTTTGACCGGGCTTACTCGAGGTTAATCGTGGGTAGTGACCGGCCATCGGAGGGAGAGCTGTTCATGTTGATCAAAACGTAAGAAGGCTCTTCTGAGGGGTGCATCAAGATCTGAACAGGTATATGCTTTACGTGGAGGAAACCGTCTGAAGACGCATACAAAGGGTCTAGTTCTTCTCCGTGGGGATGTCGTAGAATCTCGTAACTTGCTCAACTGCCGGAGAAAATATTGTGAAAGCAATGTTCGAGTATGCAGGTTGGCCGTCTAATGCATTGGCTGGGTATGAATTCCAATGTCCTCGAAGCAGTTCTGTTCGATAAGCTCTGGTTTCTGAAAAGAGACCGTAACGCTCACGTTGCTTGGTACACGCGCTTTTGAGACCAAGAGCATCCTTTCCGGATGTACCTGGGTCTTATAGAGGCGGAAACCCCAAAGCCTGAAATATGACCTGGAGATGAGAGTACTCGGAGAGACCCTCTGGACAGTCAGTCGTCAGATACAAAAAGCGGAGAAAGGGACGTATTTAACAGTGAGTTGCTGTGCCTAAAAATGACTACCCAAAAATCACAAGGCCGTGTGATTCCATCTACATGTCACGGTATCTCACAGGTCAGGCAGGTAGTCGGTGGTGGGGCTGTCGAGATTGAGGCCGCTCTTGAGCAAGACCAGATCAGAAAAGACTTTGCTGACAGAGTCAATGAGGCACTGGCTGCCTCGATCAATGTTGGTCGAGACACAATCTTGCTTGGGTTTGGCGGTGATGTTTTCAAGCGGGTTTGCCGGGGTATTTTCTGGTCGAAGGAGGGGAGTGCAGGAGGGAAGCTTGCGTTCTCCATTGGCCATCCTGCTTTTATCTCGCCATATTTGATAGAGTCTTACTTCAAGCCTACTAGCAACTCGTAGGACGAACGAGGATTCGCAGTGGCCCAAATATCTGGGTCGTGGGGTGACAAGGCCATCAGGCCTGCAAATCGACATGCAGTACTCGTCCTTTAGGGATCCTACCTTGTGTGGGAGTTGAGTAACTTCACCCCCGGCTTCAACACATCCACATCGATGATGACACGATAAGTGCGGCAGCACCCGAATGGTTCCGCTGATTTTCCTGTTAGCTGCTACGGATACAATGTCAGAATGACGCATGACTTGAATGTAGCACATGCCCGAGCATATATGGACCGAGACGTCGCGTCAGAAAGCACGATTGCTCTGGTTACGACTTTTTGTCAAGTCACACCAGCCTGCAAGGACCTGAATCTCTCGAAGTCCAAATAGAAAAAAGGCGGAGTGAGCTGTTTCTGGTGACCCATCTGAGGTGCACCCATAAACCATGTTCCCTGAGGTGGGCTGGGGCTGAGCCGGGCCTGAGCCTAAGCAGGTGCCACAAAAACGCTAGCCTGGACCAGGACCTCCACTGCAACATCTGCGCGTCGTCGCGACATGCGCCTGCCCACCTGTCTACCACATTTCCATGCTCTACCCACGCTTCAATGGCGGGCAAAAGGGGTAGCAAGGCTGGACCCCCGCCGTTAGCCAAGACGCTCGTTCTTGACAACGGCGGCTACACCATCAAGGCTGGTTTCGTAACCGAAGAATCTGCGGAACAACCACGCGTTATCCCCAACTGCATCGCCCGCGACCGTTCCAGGAAGCTCTACGTCGCGTCCGAACTGGACCAGTGTCGCGATTTTGGCGAGGCTCAATTCAGGCGCCCGGTTGAGAAGGGCTTCATTGTCAATTGGGATGCTCAGAGGGAGATCTGGGACCGCGAATTCTTCGACGACAAAGCTCCGCAGAATTGTGATCCATCCGAAACGCGACTGCTTCTCGCTGAACAACCCAACTCCCTTCCCGTGCTTCAGTCGAATACCGACCAGATCATCTTCGAGGAGTATGGTTTTGCCAGCTACTATCGTGGAATCGGTCAGTTGCTACGCTGCAGCTTCTGGGATTTAACCACTGACATCCCCTTCCTCAGGCCCCGCCTTTAACGCCTACCATGACATACAGGCTGTTCTCCAAACGCCTCGCGATCCAAGTACTGTTCCCACGACCCCAGCCGAGCTGGTCCTCGTCATTGATTCGGGCTATTCTCAGACGACTGTCTTGCCTCTCCTCCGTGGCCGCCCGTTCCACTCCGCCGTTCGCCGCCTCGACGTGGGCGGTAAGTTCCTAACGAATTACCTTACTCGCCTTCTCTCCCTCCGCCACTTCGACATGCGAAACGATGTCTACATCGTCAACGAGATCAAGGAAAAGGCCTGCTTTGTGTCTCTCGATTTTGACAGTGATCTGGAAAAGACATGGAAGGGTACACGTGGCGAGAGGAGAGAGTCATACCTTACAGGAGGCGGTGTTGCCAAGGACTACGTGCTGCCAGATTTTCACACTCGGTCACAGGGGGTCGTGCGCGACTATGACCCTACAATGCACATAAAGGCCAGGAAGCTGGCGGCTCAGTCGAGTGACGTCAACGAGGACCTCCTAACTCTGCGTAACGAGCGCTTCACTGTGCCTGAGCTTCTGTTCAACCCCTCCGACATTGGCCTCTGGCAGTCAGGGCTAGCTGATCTCGTTATGCAGTCTCTCGACGAACTGCCGATTGGAATCTGGCCAGGCCTGCTGGCCAATATCGTTGTCGTTGGTGGGAACGCCTCGTTCGAAGGATTCATTCAGCGCCTTGAGAAGGAGCTCGTGAAGCGGGTGCCTGACGACTGCATAGTACGTGTTGCCCGCCCAGCTGATCCCATCACCAGCACCTGGCTTGGCGCGGCGAACCTTGCCCGTCACGGCAATCTGCCCAACATGTGTGTCACAAAGGCAGAATACGAGGAGCACGGCGGAGGTTGGCTTGCGCACAAGTTCGGTTCGAGCTCGGCTATGGGCTCAGCGAGTCCCAACTGAGATGCATCGAATAACTTCCAACCTTTTGCAACTTGATAATTTGGCTAGAACATCTCTGTCTATCAACGACAACGGAGCACGATATAACCACTGCCCTGCAGAGATCACAGCAACCAGATCGCCTCAGAAGGACGGGCCACCCTCGCACCTTCGCATGCACTCAGAAGACCCCTCCGAAGCTCCGGTGCCCACTGCCGGAATATTCTGGGCGAGAGCCGCAAATTGCATGGCCAGTGGACTATCGCCAAACGCCGCGGCCAGAAGTTCTGATGGCATACCAAACAGCCCGTTCGCAACGTTGTGCGTGCCAGCATCCTCAGAGCTTAGAGCGGAGACGAGCGTTGCGTTTTCACAGCCTGGTAAAATTAGCCTGTATTACATCGAGGAGGTTACGGAACCTGCCAGTGTTCTGCATTGTATGCAGGCTGCCCGTGGGAAATATGGTCATTTTGCCTGGCGTCAGGACTGTCCGCACGAGACGCGCCCCGTTCTCCAGCGTCATGAAAGTCTCGGTGGTGCCCTCGACCGCGACGACATAATTGGACGCCCGGGGATGGTAGTGCGGCGGTAGCATCGCACAGGGCCCGAGGGTCAGCCAAGACATTGTCATGCCGTTGCCGATTGTCGCTGGAAAAGTTGCTGCATTGGCATTGACTACGCCGCCAGGAGAGTAATTATGGAAGTCGCTTGCGAAGTAGTCGAACGTCCAATCACTGTCTTGAGGGAGAAGTTTGATCTTGTCAAGCTCGGTCGGGCTCAGCTTCAGACGGCCCACGAGCGTGGGGTTGACGGCTTGGTCGATGCCCTCCGCCAAGTCGATCAACAGGCTGAGGCATATTCCTTGGACGATAGAGGCGATCTTTAGCATGTTGGACGGAAACCTGTGGTTGTTTGGCGTCTGCTGAAGAGCTCTGCAAGGCGGCATAACGATGCGCGGCCAATCTCGATGATATTATAATCGATCGACGAACCCTTCCGCTTCATGGCTGCCTATCAGGATGCCTTCATGTTGTGCACACGCGGGAGTATCATTCGACACCTAGGGTAACACGGCAGGCGCTGACGTTCGATGGAGGACGGAATCTTGGTCCACCGCCGGTCAGCCGGTATTGCCATCATCGAGATCGTGGATACTTGATCGCGAGATCACTTGTTATGAAATCGTGGGTGTTCGACATCCGCCAGAGCCACTACCCCATGTCACTTGATCTGGTGATTATATATCGAGCATCAAAAAATTGGCAGAACACCACTGAGTTTCGCATTGCCATTACTCAACGTGTTCAACCTGGAGCGGGCGTTGGTAGGCACCAATACCGTCCCTCAAGAGCGCCCGATGCCTCGAAGGCTTGGGCGTAAAGGAGTCGGAAACCTGTTTGACAATGCGGAAATACATAAATTCCCATCATCCAAATTGCCGCGACAAAATTGTCGATTTCGAAAAAGCATGCCTATTCAAGGAAGTGCCATTGTGATATCTCGTTATCCTTGATGAATCAATGTTCCCTGCGTCGTAGTGTTGCACTTGGTTGGACAAGCCTCGTATTTCACGGACGACAGAGACACCTGAGTTAGCAATATGAACAGAAGGCAACTCGCGGCCTCAAGGATATTATGACACTTGGCCCTATCAACAGCAGGCTGTTCAGCGAATCGTTGGTGTTAGTGTTGGCAAGGCCGCGCTCACAATCATGTGAATTGTGACAAGTACCCAAAACACGTCCTTGTGCTGCTTCAGGCCACATCACAGCGATGACAAGACCAACAAACAAGCCCCATGTTGTCCAGCTTCTGTTAACCAAGAAAATGGAAGCACATTGAATGTCGCGCTCCAATTTGAAACATTCTGATAGTCGATGCCGATTATGTTGCTTTGCCAGGTTTGTCCTACGCCCATCCCGATCAATCCGCAGGGTTCGAGACTGACACTGATCATGCCGGTCCCAGAAAGACTTAGAATGGTCGGGCAAAACACAGTCTTGGTGACAGGAACTTAAATGAAGATCACGATACAGTTGTAGAGCAGTCGATCCCACCACATTGCCTCGATGGTGGACGTGGCAAGCTCCCGAGCCTTGATCGTGGCACGCGACTCTGTCTGATTTTGAGGGTGACCCACAACAAGTCTCCTGTCATTCAAGTGACACTACATCAGTAAGGAATGAGTTGGGATCGGCGATCTATTACTATGACGCCACGCAACAATGTGATCGCCCAACAGAAACAGGGTATCATACAGAACATCGAGGCAGACTGGCCTCGCCTGACGACAAGAAGAGAGAGGGAAAGCTCGATAAACGAGGAGAAAGAAGCGCTGCGCTATCATGAGTGACCGGTCGGAGAACGCCGAACTGATCCAGAAGGAAGTAACCGAAGTAACCAAACACTGGCGGAGTAGAGGTCTTATGAGAATAGTAAGCATCTCTTAGAGGTGACGGAGGAAGCGACCGCGGCTGGAACACCCTGTAAACTGATCAGCATAAAAATCGCTGGGAAGGATCGGGATGCGGCATACAGTCGCACTAGAGAACGTCAGCTTGATCATTGAAAAGGTGTTGTGCTTGTAATTGACTTACCAAATGAGCTGTCGATCCTTCGTTATGGATGATGCAGTAACCGCCGCAGCATCCACGGCAAAATCGCTGGGTCTGCTCGATGCAGTCGTGGCACTTTTGTTGTTCAGTTCCGGTGTCTATTTGGGTATAGTTCGAAACTTACATTACTACCACACTCCCAACAGCTCTTGATGATGCGTCCCTGTAGGCCATTAGCGAAGAGACAATGATGCAACACGGCGCAGATTTCCATGAGATCCGAAGGAAAAGGATATTGGTGTACATATGTGGCATACAGTATGTGCAGGCGGAAGCCATTGAGTTCAGTTCTCGGGGAGGCAAAGATCACTGCAGATGCCATTCCGTACCTTCGATTTGGCGTGTGAGGTACGTTGGTCTTCGTCCTCGTGTTGCTGGACCCAAGCATCGCCTTCAGGACTGACAATAACCACATCGGCGGCGGCAAGGTTGACAGGGCCGGGACTTGCAGGCGCTGTCGGTGGCACGTAACATTCCTCGCACCACCATTTGTTGCAACTGTTGCAGTACCGATCGCGAAGGCAGTCGGCACATCTTGCAACGAAGCCGGAGGACGTAGAGGGTGAGCAAGGAACCGTTGCTGCTTTGATGGAGGACGAGAGGAGGGGTGGCGGCGCCAAGAGGGGCAGAAGTGAGGGTGGCGTGCAGGCATGAGTAGTGACTCCCTCCGGAGCAGCACCGCAACCTGCACAACCAGGGACGGCATGTGTCGCAACAGCCCACTGAGGTCGAGAGTCCCGCGAACCTGGTGCAGTCACAAGATGGGAAGCAGGAACCTTGCCATATGCAGGGGAGCTGATGTGGCGCGGGCCATTGCATGGCAGGGCATCAAAGGCAATGATACCACGGCAATCAACAAGCGTGGCAGCCCATTCGTCGAGCGGCGCCCGGGCAATCATTCTACCCTTCCGATTATGCCAATCATCAGGAGCATGTGCCATGTCCGGCGCACCAAAGATGTAGAGGGCTTTGAGGCGTGGAGTATTCTCCGGACGCGTAGGACGGCATGCATATTGGAGAGTGCGACAGAGCTGCCGCTCGTTGAGATGCTTGCTCCCACGCAGCGAGAGCAATCGGATGTTGTAATATGGATCGAGGATCAGCTCGTGGCAAAGCTCGGCTGTCACGGGTAGGGTGTCGAGGATCAGAGTCTGAACATCGGCGAGGAGGTTGTGGTAGCGGAGGCGGCTGAATATGCCACGCAAGGGACCTGAGTAGAACCTATGAGGCGGCAATAAGTAGCTGTCGACAGAAGATGGATCGGAGGCCACGTACTCATCCTCGGTCAGATTCTCGTCAAGTTGGACGTTGCGCCAGGTCTCGCCGCCGCGGTCGACTGGAGCGATGTCAAGTTGGGCAGCGCGAGTGTGGGTGAGGTCGAGGTGGCGGAACACGCCGGGCGTGTGAAGAACAAGCCCGCGGAAGTCGTGACTTGTCGAAGCGAGGTTCAGGCGTGTGGAAGCAGACAGGTAAGGTGCAGTTTGCGCGAGAATCAGGTGGTTCGAAAGGAGGTCGAGTAACGTTGGAACTGAATCTAGGTATTCGACATGCGACGCGTTGGGGGTGATGTGGATGGCCGAGAGCATGGTACGGCCGAAGGAGAGGGTGCTGCGAAGAGTGGGTACAAAGGATAGATAACGATGGAGCGCAATGCGAGAACTTGGCGACGGCGTATATCAGGGCACAATGGTGGTTGATGTTGGCACCTCTTGGTCGGGAACACTGGGTAGTAATAGGCACGACGATTGATGAGCAGCTGATTAGTGCCTCAGGTACCTCAAAGCTAAGACATATGATGGAGGGGGTGTTGCTCGCGTATATATTCGCTGGGATGTTGAGTACCTAGAGCTCTATAGCTTCAGTAAGTAGAGCTAATAATAAGCGCTCCTCGGCCTCCTTAGGTCGACCTCGTCTGGTTCGACTCGAACAACGCCGTGTTCGAGGCGAGCTGGCATCACGTTGGTATGTGCGGAGTTGCAGCATCCTTGCATGGCCCTCTGATACTAAGCCAGTCCGAGCTTGCGGACCCTGAAGATCGACGGACCGAATGAAACGGGTTGGGGGTTAGCTTTGGTTGAGATCTGGAGAGGGTGGGCAGAGGCGTTGAATGCTTTGGGAGGGTGGTTGAAAGTAGGTGCGAGACATGTCGAGCATCGAAGCTCTCCAATGAAGCTGCTGCTTGAAACTGTTACATGACCAAATTAGCCGCAACAACCCGCTTAGACCTGCCGTCTTATCGATTCGAGGCACGGCCACCACAGTGGCTCGAGCTGCATCTCGGCCGGGCGTCCGTGGGGTGCGGGATGACTCCCCGGACAGGCGGTGAAGCACGACATGGCGTGTATGGGGGTGCTTCGCTGGTTGCACTGCGCCGGTGACGAAGCCAGAGTTGGACATTATTTTGGGATTGGTTTCGGCTGGGCGATCCGTGGTGCCCAAGAAATGGCTTGACCGGCCTTGTTGGCGATCACACACTGGGCTTTGATGTGGTAGCGGGCACAAGCCCTCTTGGCGTCTCTGAACGACTCGGTCAGGTCTTAGGTCGGATACTTCGGGTCTTCTCCGCATCACACAGTGATCGGTGTCAGCTTCAAGGGTTGATGCCAGAGGGGGATCGCGAACTTAATGGTCATCTGCTCTTCTGCAAAGCGCCAGCCACGCCAGCCAGAACTTTTACCACCCACCCCAGTTCATACAGCCTTACGTAAGATCCCATGGCAAATCTTCGGCTCACATCCGTGGTCTCCAGAAGTGGCAGGCGGAGTGCCCGTTGTGGCGCAAGCTTTCCCACGTCATCGTAGCGGGTGGCCCCTGCACGAATCAAAGTCGCGATAGAATCGCGAAGAAATGATGTGTTGCTGAATCATCTGTCATGGCCTTCGACAGCTTGGCCTTTTCGAAGCCATATGCCGACTTCGCTGTGCACTCAATGATCCGAAAAAAGCTACAATTTCTACGAAGCTTGTCATGATAAATCCGTACATTCAACAACTCTCCCTTTACCCACCCTCTTCTCCCACCAATCTGGCCACTTGACCCCTCTTGCTATCACAACATGGGTGACATTGACCCTCAAGACAATAATACCTCGATCAACTGGTCTGCGTCATTTTCCGTTGTCTCGCCAGTGAGAAGCGCATCGAAGGACCTTCGTGGAGATAAGATCCTCCTTCCTCAATCAGCTCTGGAACAGCTTCTCGCAGCCTCCCCGTCTTCGCCAACTCATCCAAACCAGACTTTCTCCTCGTCACGCGTCGCTTTCAATCCCTACGCCACCCACCAATCTGGACCCTACCGCGAGACCTCCCAACTCCCGAATCCCTTAACCTTTCGCCTCGTCAACCCGATCAACGGAAATGCCGTCCATGCTGGAATACGCGAGTTCTCTGCCGAAGAGGGGCAGGTCGCCTTGGGGCCATACCTGATGGAAGCCCTGGGTATCGACAGCAGCATGTTCGCGAGCGAGAGTGACACCGACAGTGAGGCCCACATGACGAGCGACCAAAGCAAAGCCTACCCGCGAATCACGATTCACGCAAAATATCTACCCAAAGGCACGTACGTTCGGCTACGTCCCCTCGAAGCAGGCTACAACCCCGACGACTGGAAGTCTCTCCTCGAGCGCCAGCTGCGCCAGAGCTTCACTACCCTGACAAAAGACGCTGTTCTTGCCGTTCGCGGTGTCAAGGGAGAACAATTCCAATTTCTTATCGATAAATTCTCTCCCGAAGGCGATGGTATATGTGTTGTCGACACTGATCTCGAGGTTGATATAGAAGCTCTCAACGAGGAGCAGGCTCGCGAAACTTTGCGTCAGATAATGGCGCAAGAAGAGACAGAAGGCGACAACGGAAGCTCCAAAGGCGGCAAGCTAGACATTTGGAAGCCCATCGATGGCCAGGTTGTGCCCGGTCAATATATCGATTTCCAGTTGCCATCTTGGAACAGATCTGCTCCCTTGACAATTGAGCTTTCCGGCATATCCAATCCCGATTCGCTTGACTTGTTTGTCAGCCCAAAATCGTCTAGACAACGGGCTTTGCCACGCGATTCAGAGCACGTATTTGGCGAGATATCTGTCGCACGGAGTGGCATGAAGACCATTTTTCTCAACCCTACAAATGTCGATCTTGAAGAAGCAGACCAGCTACTGATCGCAGTACACGGATATCCAAATTCAGTTATGTCGGGTTCAGCCACTCTGTCCTTTACACTTCGGGCAAGGTCTGGTGCTGTCGTTTCCGACCCTCCATCTATCATGTCGGGTGATTCTAGCACATCGCACTCATTGGACGACGAGCAATGCAAGAATTGTCGGCAGTGGGTGCCGAAGCGAGCCATACTTCTGCACCAAAACTTCTGTCTACGCAATAACGTCATCTGTCCGAGGTGCGAATCGGTATTCAAAAAGGGTTCCCCTGAATGGGAAGCGCACTGGCACTGCGAATTAGACGACGACTTTGGAGATACAGCTGCCAGCAAAGCCAAGCATGACGCTCAGCGACACAGCGAGTGTCAGTGTTCTTCTTGTGGCATGACTGTACCATCCTTGGTCGAGCTGGCCCTTCACAGGACCAGTGTCTGCCCTGGCAAGCTGATTCTCTGCAGGTTTTGTCACCTCGAAGTGCCGCAGGAGGGAGATCCCTTGAACCCATCAGCCGAGGTTATCTTATCTGGTCTTTCTGCGCATGAGGTCGCTGATGGGGCACGAACTACCGAGTGCCACCTATGCAACAAAATTGTTCGTATGCGTGACATGTCTGCCCACATGAAGCACCACGAACTTGACAAGGTGTCGCGGCGTAAGCCTGACGTGTGTCGCAATGCAAATTGCGGTCGCACACTACACGGCGTCGGGCCTTCAGGAGCTGTTAGCGCGGGCACGATGATGGGACAGGGTCCTGGCAATGACATTGGTCTTTGCTCGCTATGTTTCGGTCCACTTTATGTCAGCATGCACGATCCAGAGGGAAAGGCGCTTCGCCGGCGCATTGAACGACGTTACCTGTCACAAATGATGACGGGCTGCGGCAAGTCGTGGTGCGCCAACCAGTGGTGTAAGACCGGCCGCGCAAACGCAGCCCTGGAAGCCAAAGCTGCAAGTGCCCAGGCTGTCTTGCCGCTTGTGAAGCCACTGGTGGAGAATGTCCCGCGGCTGGATGAGCCCCTTTTCTTCTGTGTCGATGAAAGAAACCAGAGGAGCAGGAAGATGGCAGAGATGCTTGCTAGTGAGAATGTATGGGAACACGAATGGTGCATAGCGGCGTGCGAAGCGGCCGCAGGGGACTTAGACAAGGCGCGGGAGTGGTTACATAACTGGGCACCCATGAAGGGCGTTGGTGCATAGCGGGCGGCATTTGAATGATACCACGATTTGACCGACTTTTAGGAGGCACATGCGGAGACACGGGAGAGGGGGCTAATTGAAGGGCCTGGGACTATGAGAGGTAGTAAAAAGGGCTGCGGGGCCCCTCCCAACTGCGAAGAGGCAGAATTCCGATGTATTCCCTCCCCCGACCTGACAATCGACTACGGATATCATCTGCAGAAGATCTCACTCTGCTCATCCACACGCTCAGACACGAGCAGTCAGGGCCATGAAACGACGACGCGTTTCTGCACTGGAATCTTTGATAACTCAGATCCGAACAACAACTTCTAATTGCCACTCATAGAGCTTCATAGCCCTCCCCAACGATATACGGCGGTCTGACCCGTCAGCGTAAATCACAACCGTAGCATGCGACTTACCTTAAAATATTCTTGGACCCCACAATAGCTGCAGCGCCTCCAGCGTATATGCCAAGCAGCTTACCCCAGCCTGTGTTTCCGTAGATGGACTGCCCGACAGACAGCGCAATCAGATTGTACACGAGACATCCCCCAAAGATCCAGTCGCTCACTGCTGACATGAGTCCGAAGCCCACGCCGGTAAGGACCTTGACCGGCAAGGAAGGCTGAACATCGACGAAGTAGGCTGCCGAGGTGTTGTGGAGAAGGTCTAACACGCCGATACCTGCGGATGTTTTGGAAACGACATGGGTGAGGATCGAACTGGTGGATGCTGTGTCCATCCTGGGGAGACGAGTCGCGATAAAGTACAGTTGGGTGAGGGTATTCATGATCACAAAGAGATTGGACGTTTTTAGGTGGCCACTGTTCCAGAAAAGCATCCAGGCTGCGAAATCAGCACTACGACCTTACAGGATCACGGGCAAACTTACATGCTATGCAGATGTTGCCAAGGCTGTAGAACGGCGCAAAATCAACCATCGTGGCCGTCATGCTCTTGTCTGGTCTGGCCTTGTGGAGGCGTCGTAACCAAACGAGCTGGAAGATCTGCTGCGGGAAGAAAAAGGCACCGATGAGAAAAGGCTGCGGCGAGAAAAAAGATTTGTTTGCATCATGAATGTCCTTCATGTTCGGCGTGCCAAGGAGACCATAGGTCTGCGCAGCAAAGTCGATTACGAAGGAAGCAGGGGCCAAGACCCTTGCAGTGGAGAGAGAGATGCCCATGATACAGCTGGTGGAAGCTTCTCTCTCAAGAAGCAAGATGTTTTCTAGAAAGTCCAGACTAAAATTGCGTGAGGTTCTGTCAATTCCGCTTCATTAAATAGTCGATGCAACATGCTCAGCATGATGAAGAGGTGTGGGCGTCAAAGTGTGGCTATTGTGGATGTCAACGGCTGTTCGCAGATCTGGCACCCGCTGGCTCTCCGCGTCATCGATTTAGGTCCGTGTCCAGCCGCTACAGTAGCACTAGTCAGTTCGACCAAGGTAGTGGCCAACCTCATGACAGCGCTCAGCTGAGAGTTGAGCTCTGAGTCGGAGTCGAGGCGACTGAGCTCGCTCTCATAATACTGAAGCCTCCAGAGCAGCATGTAAGATGAATCAGTATGTACGATTTAAGAATGTGCTACTAAGTAAGTGAGGAACACAGTTGCTCAGAAAACCCGATTGCGCAGAGCAAGATCGAAGTGCAGGGCGAAACAACAGGGGTCGAAGCCCGTAACAAAAAGCCGAAGTTTTGACGTCCTGCAAAAATGCTTGGATGGGCGGCACGGTGTGATGGAATGCCCTTCGTGAAACGATCCGCTGTGTATTTTTACTGCTTTTATCTATGCAATTGACTTCCTAAGGACGTCCATAAATGTCCACACATCCTCGAACGTACAGTACAGCGGCACCGGGGCGACACGAATGACGCCTGGCTTCCTCTTATCACAAACCACACCCGCGTCCGTCAGTGCTGCGCTAACGTCATCCAATAGGCCGTCCTTGAGCAGCACGCTCAGCTGCGTTCCTCGCTCCAACGGGTTCCTTGGCGTAATAACTCTGAACGATGGCTCATCCTTGGACTCGTCTGCGAGGATACCATCCAGTAGATGCTCTGCGTACGCTGTCAGGACCAGCGCCTTGGATCTCAACGACTTCATGTCCGTCTTGGCAAAAACAGAAAGTGACGCGGCAAGCGACGCTAGATCAATCGCCGAAGGGTTTGAGACCTGGAAGCCGCCAGCGCCTACTGTCGGCAAGAAGTTGTTGTCCATGTTGAATCGCACAGACTTGTCTCCGCCATACCATCCTGTCAGGCGGTGCCTGAACACAGGACGCCCGTTCTCCTTCTCCACCTTACCATGCCGCTCGTGAACGAACGCGCCTGCGATAGCGCCAGGTCCTGCGTTCTGGTACTTGTAAGTGCACCACGCCGCAAAGTCAACATTCCAGTCATGAAGCTTGAGCTCAACGTTGCCAGCCGCGTGGGCAAGATCCCAGCCGACAACGATATCACGGTCTTGTGCGTATTTGGTGATGCGCTCCATGTCGAATAATTGGCCGCTGTAGTACTGAATGCCAGGCAGAAGGATGAGCGCTGTCTCGTCGGCATGCTCATCGATGGTCCTCAGAATGAGATCAGTGGAGATGTAAAAGTCGTCGTCTGGTTGGATCTGCACCATTGACTTCTTGGGATCCAGGCCGTGCCATTGAATCTGTGACTCGATGGCATAGTGGTCACTGGGAAAGGGGCGCCATTCGAGGATGATCTTATGCTTCTTTTCGGTGGGTCGGTAGAAGCTTGCCATGAGAAAGTGCAGATTCGCTGTTAGAGTGTTCATGACAACAACCTCCTCGGGCAGCGCTCCAACGATGGCAGCGCTTTTGATAGCACACTCCTCCGCCATGTCCTGCCAGCACACAAGAGGCGAATTCTCCAGGGCTGAGAAGTGGCCGCCAACAGCGATCGAAGCCCAGGTCTCGAGTTGCGCGTTCAGGTAATGCCGCGTAGCCTTGGGCTGCACACCAAGTGAGTTGCCGCAGAAATAGATGGATGGCGTGCCATCTGATGGGGATGTGCTGTGACCGTTGGTCTCGCCATTGACAGCCAGCTTTTCGCCATCTGTGAGTGATATTAGCTTGATGCGATCAATCTTTCAGAGCGAAGGATTTACTTGGCAGGGTACCATTAATTGCCTTCTTCTTCAATGACCCCTTGGTCGGCAGGATGAATTCATTTCGGAAGTGACGGAGTTCATCCTGGTGGTCCATCTGCTGGGCGTATTCGATTGTGTTGGCATTGGCCGGAAACTTGGCACGGCCGCCGGAACGGAGGTGCTCCACGTAAGATGAGAATTCCATGGCTGGGGTAATCGTCTGAGGCTGGCTGTGCGGATGAGATATATCAGACGATGAGGTGCTTGTAGTGTTCTGCTGAGTGAGGGGTTGCGTGATTGTTTGGGGCGGCTTTTCGACCACTTTGTAGCCGTCACTTAGCCCGCGGTCGGCCGCACTTGGCCGCAATAGAGCACATCCGCATCCGCATCCGAGATCCGCATCCGACAACCGACCTGCCGAATTTTCTTCCGCAAATAGCCGGAGGCGGAACAAGGAGTCGGGCCACGGAGCGGGATCGGGGATCCGCTGCGGATGTTCAAGTCAGGGATACGAATGGGCATGGAGACAAGATACTTCATGTCACAGCGGCCGTCCTGAGCAGGTTCCAAATATTCTGCTCTCTTTAATCTCAAGTCTCACATCAAGTCTGCTCGTTAGCACTGTCATACTGCCCTTTTCACACAGCGTCTCTATTCACCATGTCTCCCCATGCCATCACTCCACTTCGCGAAGATGCCTTCACTGAACAGGCATACAGGGAGTTTGGAATCACAAAAAACGGCTTTCTCCCAGCTGAGGCGCCACTGTCGCATCTCCCTTCCGCATACTATGTCCCCTGGGAGCGAGTAATTCACCATCTTCCCGAGCTCCTGGCCTCGAGAAGATTTCATGACGAGGTTCGAAAATTGCCAGTGCTATCAACAAGCCAGCTTTCGAGCGAACCTGAGTGGAGGAGAGCCTATGTCATCCTTAGCTTCTTCACACACGCTTGGGTCTGGGGTGGAGAAAAGGCCGAAGAGGTGCGTACGATTTGCGCCACGCAGAAGCCTACGAGTCCGACTGACCTTGTGTTCAGGTGCTTCCGCCAGCCGTGTCCGTCCCCATTTTACGTGTTGCAAAGCACCTGGAGCTGCCACCGGTCGCAACGTACGCCGCACTCAACCTTTGGAACTTCTCGAGCTCGAGTACAGACTTTACCGACCTCGACAAGCTCGAGTCACTCCACACATTTACCGGAACTCGTGACGAGGCCTGGTTTTATCTTGTGTCGGTGGCAATGGAGGCCGAGGGTGCGCACATCGTCTCGTCCATGTTGAACGGGCTTGATGCCATCAAGTCGCGGGACTATGATACCATCACATCGTCAATCGAGTCGCTGACGAGCAGCATCCGCAAGACTGGCGCACTTCTGGAACGCATGTACGAGGCGTGTGACCCCATGTGCTTCTTTTACAAGATTCGACCATTCCTAGCGGGCAGCAAAAACATGGCGGCAGCGGGTTTGCCCAATGGAGTCTTTTACGACGAAGGGAATGGCAAGGGCAGCTGGCAGCAGCTCCGAGGCGGCAGTAACGGCCAGAGCTCTCTCATTCAGTTCCTCGACGTCGTTCTTGGTGTTGAACACATGTCTCATGGCAACTTCAAGCCCGAGTCGAACCCCAAGGCGTCCAAAGAGCCGACATTCCATCAGCAAGTCCGCGAATACATGCCAGGTCCACATAGGCGATTCCTCGAGCACGTACCGCTGCTGGGAAGCATCCGTGAGCTGGCCATGTTGCCGCCCCAGGGAAAGGAGCAGGAAAGACTCCGCGATGCGTATCAGGCGGCCACGCAGGCTCTGACAGAGTTTCGCAACAAGCATCTTCAGATTGTGGCGCGATACATTGTGCTGCCATCAAAGAAGGCAAAGGGCACTGCAACAGCCGGCAAGGTCGATTTGGCGAGTGTATCAGAGATGACCAAGGACTCAAAACAGCTGACGGGTACTGGCGGAACGCCGCTGATGCCGTTCCTCAAGCAGACGAGAGACGAAACGGCACAGGCGGGAGATTTGAGCAGGCGATGACGGTTCGGATTACATACGCATGGCGATAGAACTACGTGCTCGGAATGCATAGCGGGTGTTCTTGATAGGTCAACTTGAGATCTTTGGGGGCTAGGTAACTTGTTACAACTTTTGCCCTGATGTGATGCAAACCGGGCCAGCCGGGCAAGTGGGGGGAAGACTTGGGACAAGTCCCGTGAGCTGTCAAGGATGCGGTTGCGGATGCGGATGAAAGTGCGGAAGTTGCGGATATGAACATGCTTGCCTCGGATCGCACGATGCGCCGCACCAAAGACGTCATTGACCCACCTGAAACTCTACCTAGGTGGGGTTTCTTTGTAATCCCGAGCGCGGAAGCCGAATCAACAGCATTTTTGCAGCCGAGATTGACCCTTCCCTCCAAGCAGCCGAAGACAAACCGCCTTCTCTCCATCCGCCCTTGCTATCCGCCCTTCCCTATCCGCGCCCTGACGGTTATGCCTACATCTGCACCCTGTCACCCGCCACCAGTGCTGTGTAACTCCCGAGCGCCCTCCGAGTCCGTCATCCGTCCAGCCATTGAACTGACACGACATCTATGGAAGATGATCCCGTCCGGCGAGTCCGCGCCCGGATTGCCAATGCTTGCGATAGTTGCAAGGCGAGAAAGGGTATCCGCCCATGCCCCCTAGATCTTGCATATGTACATCGATTGCTGATCGATGGCCCAGTAAAATGCGATGGCAACATTCCCTGCAGCTACTGTACTCGCCGGCAACGAGCCTCAACGTGCCATTATTCTCCCCAGCACCGCCGACGCACGCAGGTGGCCCGGACGACAGTCACACCATCGCCGTCCGCCCCTGAGTCTGATCGGCTGACCCGACATCACCAGTCGCCAGGCCCGAGGTCGTCGTACAGTCATCAGCAAAGCCACACCGCCACGCCAACGCCACAAGTTGGCACTTCACAAGAGGCCGCCGATGACGAGACTGAAGTTCCACGAGAGGCCCGGCTCCTGAGAGACGCACAAGGAAAGCTCAGTATGTTAGTTCGGGCAAGCGCCATGAGACCCTAACGTGACTGACCGTTGACAAGTCTTCATTGGCGATTGCGCGCCACTGTCCTTCTTTCAGACTGTGCGGCAGCTTGTGTCGAGTCGGGTTGATGCCAATGCCTTCGCTCAACATGTGAATCGTTTCTCTGGTAGCGATAGCGCCAATTCGAAGCCATCGCACGGTCAGGGCTCCAGCACACTGCCCGTGCTGCATCACGATACGATACCTACTGCTGTTGCTACCTACTCATCCGTGGTTAGTCTCCATCTTCACATCGCCCTTCCTATGGTTGTAAGCTATGCTGACTAGACCAGACAAGCGGTATTGTTGATTTATTTTGCCATACAAGAGTTCGTGATGACATTGCTCTGTGGGCCAGTCAAACTGAGCGCTCGCATGATGTCTCCTCTGCTGTGCACTTTTTGGTACTGGCCATTGGCTACCAAGCCACACATGAAGACCTCGCCGTGACATATTTTGACCATGCCCGGAATATTGCCCTTGCCAACCTCACTGGTAATTTGACAGTATCGACGATCCAAGCCTTCGTCCTCATCACAGTATTCATGCTTGGTTCTTGTCAGACCAACGGCGCGTTTCTCTTTTGCGGTATGTCTCATGAAAATGTCGTGCCATTAAAGATGGCTGACAGTACAGGTATCGCCGTGCGCGCTGCATATTCCATCGGGGTTCACCGTACGGAAATCAACGCACGCTTCGGGCCTGAAACTCAGCGTCAACGGTAGGCTCCAACCTTGAACTCGTTGGGTATTTGCATGGGGTTGACAAGGAAAACTCTCAGTGACCGCCTATGGAAGAGTATGCGCATCTTGGACCTTTTCCTCAGCACATCTATGGGACGACCACCCGCGACTTCCGACGTCGACTGTACTGTCTCGTATTCGGCGCCGGATGAAGATGGCCAGGAGGCCTTCGATATATTGAACTCTTCTGTGCAAATATTCTTGATCGCCGAAGAGATCGTCGTCGAAGTATACTCGCGTAAAAAGATATCTTACCAACTGACCGAGGGCATTTCTCGACGACTCCGCGACTGGTCTATCAGGTGGCTGCCTAAAATGAAGCACGTCATCGCCAGTCCACCAGCCGAAAGTAATGGAATTGAAGTCACAGGCGCATGTCAAGTACTGTGCTCGTACTATTATTGTGAGTCTAAACCTCCTAGGAACGCCAATTCAACTGACTTGGGAAGCTGTCATACTGGTATCACGTCCTTTCTTGATGTATGAGCTACACAAACGCCTTTCCGACAGCCAGGCGAGGCAACCGACCACGCAGTCAGGCCTTTCGTCAGGCAAATCGAAGCTTGCAGATGCCTGCATCGATGCCGCTAGCTTCATGGTAGAGCCAGTGGTTGATCTTATTGACAAAGGATATCTCCAAGGCCATGTTCCTCTGGTGGTGTAAGTGACACGGCCCTTTGGTGCTGGGATACGCTGATGAATCCAGATCCTGGCTGTTTGCATCTTCCCTCGTACTTGGTATAGGACTCCTCGGGTCTTTTGGTCGCATCCTTGAGAAATACAGCCGAAGATCAATCCAAGCCCTTGAACATTTCGCCAAGCACGACACGAATGCTGGGCAGTACGCACTGATCGCCAAATCTCTCCTTTCATCTGCGCTTGAGTACTTGGAAAAGAAAGAACTCAACGAGCGAATTCAGCGAACGGAAAGCTCATCACAGCTGTTTGGTCTTGTTCCACGCGAAGGCCAAGAGGCCCTGACGCAGCAGTCGTACTCTCAGTCGGTCTCGGACCGTCGCAACTCGCTGGCTCGAAACTCTGGGGCCTCCGGCTATCTCGGCCTCGGAACACCACCTTTCGGTGACATTGATTCGGGATTCCTGGGCTTGTCGGACTCTTTGCCCCAGACACCAAATCTTTCGGCGTTTCTCGACGGGAGACTGGATACTGGTGGGGACCCCGGTTTTGGGGATCTCAATCTCTTCCAGCTGCTGGACGGAGAAGGGCACATCGACCTTGGATCATTCATGTAATTTCCAAGCAGCCAACGATACGATAAAAAGCCAACAAAAAGGCATCGCCGCAGAACGGTTCACCATGAATATTTATGTCTAGAGAATATGTCTAGAGAGGTTGCGACTTCATAACAGCGTAGTTTCTGTCCGGGCTTGCATCCGACACGGCGGCTGCATCTGAATCATCGCCATTGCTGCCGTAGCCGTCCTCTGCCCTCGGATGTCTGGGAACATCAAATGATATGGACCTCCTCGCGCGTCGTCCCTCACGCGACCGCATCGAGCCCCCAGCCGACTGCTCGCGTGACGACTTTCTCGACTTGGCCGGGGCCTTCCCCTTGTCGTCGGAGCTATCGGTATCACTTGAATCCGAGATGGCGCGGATTCGTTCCGTCGTTTTCACGGAGGACGCACCCACAGACTGAGCGCGTGAGTGGGCGCGCGACAAAGGGTCTGCCGCTGTGGTTCCGGACAGCTCCGAAGCATTCGACAAATGACGTCGCGTCTGGCGGGCAGGCTGACCAGTGGATTGGCGACACGATTCGGCGCCGTCAACCTCGAGGGATCGGCGATCAGCGCGCCCGCGTTTGAAATTGGCGTTCAGAGCAGAGTCGACCGCTGTCTTGCCCGTGCAGGCGGCGACAATGTCACGTTTGAGACGTGCGTGGGCGTCGCGCTCCACCGGATCAGCCTGATTGACGCAAACCTCGTCGACCCAAAGAACAGTAAAGTTGCGCCTTTTGGAGCGGTCGCGCACGGCCAGCAATGCTTCGTAGAGACCCTGGTGGACAGTTGTCTGCATCCCATTGAGATGCATCGTGCGCAGCAGGTCTCCGGCCTCATACTTGAGCATTTGAAATGGCACCTCGTGCAAGTCAGCGTGAAACACAAGGGTTTCAAGAGGCTCTTCAGGGATGATGGCGGGAAAGACGAGGAGCAATCGGATGAATTTGGGCCAACGGATGAGTCCATATTCAAAGCGTGGGGCATCATCAAGGGTGGCCTTGGGGTTGGGATCAAAAGCATCGCCGATGGAGATGGCTAAGTCATCGCTCAGGCGAAGCGTGCAGTACTTTTCACGCGTCGGTGGGAGGGTAGCGAGTGCCGGTGTGTCTGATGCCGGGATCACAAGGTTTGGCCGTGGCTGCCGCAGACGCGGCTGAAGATTCGGAAGCATTCGTCGCGGTGGATGTCGTAGATTGAGTCGAAGCCCGTTGATTGTCGTCTTGGTTCTTCTTTTTGCGGCGCGTGACCTTGAAAAGCGTGTCTTTGAACGTCATACGTTTCTTCAGGCCTTCGATGGGTTCCGAGCCGGGCATGGCCGTTAATTGCGTCGCAGACAGCCGGGAAAATAAAGATTCACGAAAAAAAAATTGCAGCAAAAGAAGCTTCCGGGCGAGAGACGCATCCAGCGCGAGGGCGTTGCCACGAGAAAAGAAAATTGTTTTAATGCCTCTTTCTTGACAGTAGTTGCAGCAACCAACGCCAGGTATCTGTGGTTCGAGGCAGCTTCTCAACTGTGATGAAATCGGCGAGGAAGATGTCGAGCAAAATGGCTCCTCGCCAAGTTTCTCCACCGACAGTCATGAGTCGACGCTCCAGCGCAGTTCAGCTCGGGACAACATGCGGATAAGAAGATAACATGGAAAGCACAGCATGTCTTACCCTGAACATCAAATCACGACCCTTGCGATTATTATGCCACGTCCATCTGGGGCGACAAGACTTTTAGGCCACTTGGCAGCATAGTCTGGGAGCATGTCATTCGACCATCGGACATCCATAAGTCTTGGCCGTACCACCCGTCATGAGCCATCAACACCGAGGTTCTAGCTGTCGAATTCAGGCCTCATATTCGTTGGATTTTATCTCGCCGCGCGACGGTGGTATTATGATCTCCAACACCCCGCCTCACGATGCCGCCCGCCGTGCGTGTCAACTAGCCAGTGATGGGCTGCCAAACCTCATTTTGGGCGATACAGTATCATCAAGGCCAAAGGTGGCGTACGCCAGCGGCGATAACCATCTGTGTAGAATCGCTGGAGCCTCAGCCAGGAGTGCCTCATTGTATACGGGCGACAACACGGAACTTTGGGAAGCTGAGGAGCATGATTCGAGCACCAAATAATTCATGTAATTGTGTTGTTCCTCCATATCTCCCAAAATTCACTCGTCTCCGAATCTAAATCTCTCTCCTTGGTTTCAAGAGCCCAACCTACTGTCGCGTTCTCGGCATGGTCCAGCCACGGTGCCATGGCCTGGTCTCGGTATCCGGTTCCTGCGAAGTGAACCAGGAAGTCTCCCCGCCTTGCATGGTACTGCTGAGAATTTGGGTCCGTCGTTAGCGGCTTGAAGTCTTCCTTGTCTTTGCCCCGCCCGTAGGCATTGAACCACCATTGGGGTACCCATATCACATTCTTGTTGAAAGGGGCCTCGTTCAGCAATAATTCCATGGCACTCTGCTCCGTAAAGGGTAAATCGGCATCAGGCCGGTAATGACGGAGTGCGAGAATCGCTGAGAAAAGGTCAACGCTCCATCGGTTGACTCGCATGAGAAAGACACCGTTGTTGAGACCATTCCAGTCCTTTGTCGCGAGCAAGTTTATGTTCTCTGCGGGATCCCGCTGGGTATCGGATCCATTGATCTGTTGCATCGGAATTGGCAGAAAACCGAGAGGCGATCGGCAAGTATCGAGGATAATGGTATCGCGGTCAACCCAGAATAACCACTCGAGTCTTTCGACCTCTGGTTTCTCCATTTCGGAAAGTAGAAGGTCAAGAATAAAAGCAGGCTTATTCCATAAGTCGTCAATGAGCATCGTAGCCAGTACATGAATGCCTGTCTCGTGGATCGCATTGTGTAAAGAGTGTGTCCTTAAGGCACGTTGATAATGGGTTTGTGGTGTACCAAAATGTGCAGTGACGGTAGCGAGTCGATCGTGACGTTCGGGAATATTGTCTATACGTTGACGACAAAAGTCTGCGTGGTACTTCACGTCGAGTGTTGACAGATCCCATTCCGAAGAGAGGCATTTCGGCTTGCCATGGCAGTAGACGTTATCGATGGGATATGATTGGTGATGGAATGGCAAAAAAGATGATACAAGGCGGCTTTGGTGAAGCCATACTAGCTGCAAAACAACCAGACACAGAACACCACTGCACAAAGCTTTCAGAACTCCGCAACTGAAGGATCTCATAGCTGGCAAGTATTGTGGTGTCTGCATACATAGTTTTGCTGAGTAGAAGAATAGAGAAGGGTTGCCAGAGACGATTCTCTACAGTGAAATAGCAGGCTGCAGACACTTTTAGAACTATCCTTCGATCGGGAGATCAAACCTATCCGGAGTGCTGAATCCTTGAAACTGACTGTTCGTAAGCACCATCTGAATCTCCAAGTAGATATTCCCCCGACGCTTGTCCATCACGAGAGAATTTCCTGGGATGTGGAATGTTGCTGCCTAAATAACCAACTCGAAGCTCGTATCTGCCATTTCCTGCCTTACGGACAACGAAAAGCCTTCGTAGGCGAGGTTTATCCTCGGGTCGAAATTCGCCTAGCCTCGGCCGAAGTGCCGGATATGAGGCGCGTTACGGCAACGCTGAGTCAATGGGCTGACAATATTCACGGTGAGTCAGTAAACTGACGAGATGCATGGTGACCTGAAGCTGCCCAAGGAGGCATGATTGCTGTTTGAAAATTGTCAAACAACAAAAAAGAGCAGCTGACAGGTATGGAACTGTAATCCTTGACATTTTCTTAGTTTTGTGATACATGGGGTTCTTCCAGGTCAAAGCACAGTAAGTCTTTCATTCGTATCAGCGGGATCGGTGTGGCCCGATGGGCTGTCAATTTAGCAGCGGAAAGAAATGATGTAAGCTTGATGAATTCAAGAACACATCTTCAAGATGTGCTATAACTAACTACCTAGGATGCCCAATGCGATGGTAGTCTCTATCTTACCGCTTGATCACACAATTTTTCATCACCTATTTTAATTTCCTCCTCTTTTCCCGTTATTCTGAAATCCTCCACGTTTTTCCTTGTGAATTCATCATCGTATGCTCATGTCTGCGGCTGTTTCGAAGCGTCATAGAGTCGTTGTCAAATTGCAGTGCCTCCGGGGCACTAGCTGCGGACGATGATTACCATTCCTGGCCAGCAATGAGTGTGGCATCAGAGTTGTTTCGGGACTGATCAGCCATTTTTGGTTCCTCGAATTCCTCCATAGCTGGCGCGTCGTTGTGATCAGTTCTGTTGCCGTCAAACCTCTCAGCCGGCCAGCCCTGCATGGTGGCATTTGCTGGCACAACCTCGTCTTGCATGATGAGAGTGTGCTCGAGGAGGCAACTACCAGGTTCCATGGTCACGCCACTAAGAATGCTGCTTCCCGAACGAAGAACGCAACGGTCGCCAATCCTGACTTCGGCTAAGTCAAACTTGCCTCGAATATCCTTGTGCGTGACTAACGTGGCGTCGTCGATTGCAACGCGGTCCCCAATGGTCACCAAGTCGGGTTCCGTGAACATCAGATTCGGCTTTCCGTTCGCGAACAGCGCTACGTCTTTGCCGACGGTTGCACCGAGAGCGCGATAGTACATGACCAGCCAGTGCGTGCCCGATAACATTCCTGGAACCCCCTTGCCACGACAGCAGCGGTAGACAAGCCTTTCCACAGTCAAAAACAGCTGCCTGCGCTGGCAAAATGGGGTTCGGTCCCAGTCTTGACTGCCTCGAGTGACGCGGCCAAGGAGGGCCCATTTTGCGCCGATGACGATGCCCATGGCCAAGACAGCACTGCCAGTGGTGAGGGCAATCATGCTCAGGCTTGAAAGCACCCACAAGGCTAGAACGTCGTAGTTACTGGGCCGCTGCAGCATATGATCGTTGAAAATTCTACCCACAACCTTGATTGAACAGAACACTGGAACATTCCAGAAGAATACCGTGAAAGTTGATATAAAGGCCGAGTAGAAGAATACAAGAGCTGAGCTGGAGACGTGGTATGGCGCTTCACGTTGATAAAAGGCTCGCCTGAAAGGTGTCGTTTCTGGGGACTCGGTTGTTTGGCTTTCGTCTATGTCCTTGAGAGAATCGACCTCAGCAACTGGGCGCTTTTCGGGACTGGCTCGGGATTCAACCAGCGTATCAAAGCTGCCAACATGTTGCAGAGCCCTGGCGCTGACTAGTGTGTCACAGCTTGGCATGCTCTTCATCAGCCGTCGACGCCTGGCCGCCTTCTCAGCTATGGCAAATCGACCGGAGGTAAGGCATACAGAGTCGCCTCCCTGCGATCCAAGATAGATGCCATCAGAGGGGTACATCTTGTTGCGCTGTGTCATTGAACCAGGTCCCATGATTGCTCGCTCGCCAATACGAACACCGGGTAAGAGACGAGCGTGCTCCGCGATAATGGCGCCATCTCCAATGTAAACTTTCTCAGATCCGACGCCATCAGCTGTAATTATCTGAGCCTTCGAGTCGAATTGGACATCATTTCCTATATGCACGAGCCCGAAATCTCCAGTAACGGGCGCGACGCACGGCCAGTATACACGCTCGCCCACTTCGGCTCCGAGCATTCGCCATATGACTGAAGTCGTGCCATGATGCTGGCCAAGCATCTCAGTGGCCTCTCGTAATTGCCCGTCGGGGAGTAGCGTTTTGATTAGTGACGAGCGCCAAATTTGGAGAGCCCCTCGGGCTTGGGAGTCTCCCGAGCGCGGAGGTCCGATGAACCTATCGAGCACAATCCTGACAAGAGCTGTGAATGCCACGAGCACATAGGGACTGACGAGTGTGCGCAAGATCATCGAAAGATAGTGATATCCCACTTTCGGGCTGGAAGGGAACCATGTTAAAATATCGCGGAGCGGAAGGTGACTGTCGAGGGGCTTCTCGATGACGAGGCCCATGAGGCCTCCGAACATCGGTGTCAGTGTGAGAAACCATGCGACTGTGAAAAGAGGAAATGTGGCAAACGCTGCCAAAGCCCAGTGGGGTCCGGGGGCGCGGCTCGCCGATAGCAGTCGATTCGATTCGTCTGCGTCATGAAGCTCCCAGCTGGACGAGTTCAGCCCAATGCAGGTGCCTGGTGATATTGTTGCACCCGGAGCTATAATAGAGGCAACGCAAGAGTTCTCTCCGATCACGATGCGGCCGAGGTACATGGATGTGTTTGCCTCGACGGCAAAGGGTCGGCATACCGTGTTGTTAAGGATGGCGCCGTCCCTAATGTCGAGGAGGTCCCACTCGCCCAATGAAGCTCCCGTAAGCTGAACATTTTTCCCGATCTTGGCTCCCATCAAGCGACAGTACATAGCTTTTGTAAAGTTGTTGGTGTTGAAGTAGCCTGTACCGGCTACAGTGACAATCTTTTGAACCAACCACCAGCGGGTGTGATATGCTCCCCACATTGGATATACGCCTTCTCGATAGCGGCCAATGATGATCCATTTCATGGCAATCCCGAAGAAAGGCGAGAAGAGTTGGACCACTATGTAGCCAACAGTGATAGAGCCAACAAGATTTGCGAGGCGGCCCATGAGCCAGGCGTTTGTCATCCAGAAGCGTGTTCGACTCAGTACGGTCAAAAAGACTGTCCACTGGCAAGCTCGACGCAAGGGATAGAAGACGCAGAGTGGCAGCAGCTGTAGCAGCATGAGGAATGGGTTAGTGGAGCTGTATGTCTTTGTCGGGACGGCTTTAATGGCAGGTGACTCTGGCTCGGGAGCTTGATTTGATGCGGCGTCGACGTATGCTGCAATTGCCTTCACAGTGCCGTGGTTGAACACAAGACTGGCTGGCATGTGCAGGTCGAAGTCAGCGCGTAAATGCGCGAGAAGCTTCTCGGCAGCTATACGGTCTCCACCCATGCTGAAAAAGTTCATGTCTGGGTCAATCTTGCCGGAGTCCCACATGAGAATATCGGCAAAGGCCTTGACAACACGCTTCTGCGTCGGAGACACAGGCTTGACTGATGGTTTCGGGTAAGCATGAACGTCAAGGAGTTCCTCATCCACGACACCGAAGGGATCCTCGGCAAATGGCTCCGGTAGAACGTGAAGTTTTGTCGGGACCATGAATCCAGGCAAAGCAAGCGACATCATGCGCTTGATATGCGGTGGCCAGTCTGCCGTCAAACCCTGCATGCCAAAAGCTTTGGGAGCGACAAAAGCCTCCAGACTACCGTCATCTGGACTCAAGCGAAGACACGCTTGATAGCCGCTCGGGATGATGGATCGCATAATGATAGTGATGGCCTCACGATCGAGCTCACATTTGCTGCATTGAATAGGCGTTGAGACTTCCGTCCCAGCGGGAGGACATCTTGCCTCCCAATGTTTGGCGAGGTACGGTGTTTGGGCCGTGAGTTCAGGTAGACCTAGACGGTCTGCAAGCTGGGGTCGCAAGCTCTGATGATTCTTGTCCGGCATATCGTCCATGTATACGATGAGGGCAGGCCGCTTCGATGGGGACAGGTTGTGCAGCGCTCCATAGAGCGTCCACACGTCGATACGCTGTGCATCGGGAGCGGATACAAGAACAACACCCAATGTTTCGCCATGCGTTTCGTCTTTTACGGCAAAGACGAGAGCTTGCGAGAGCTTTCCACAGATCGGTGACTCCAGGCTCATCGCTGCTGTCATGATGGCCCGCTCAACCTCAAAAGGAGATATGACCTCCTTGCTGCGGGTAATGCCATCTCGACTCCGGCCCATGACATAGGAGTATCCATCATCGCCAAGGTAATCGACCTGGCTTGGGGCCACTGACAGGGTCCCAGCTCTCCGAAGTGGTCTATTGTCTGGAAACGTTGATAGCGCGAGACTGGAGGTCTCGACTAGGCGTCGTGGGTCTTCCTTATGGCTGTAAACAGGTTAGAGTCATAATCTTGAGGGTTAGAGGGTGTCTCACATGGCTATGTCGTCGTTGGAGTGGACCTCGCAACGGAATGTGTCTCGAAGCTTACGTGCCAGGGCGGGTGGCAGTCCGCCACCCGCATCACAAACCAGACGAATCGCGCTCAGACGTGATGCCTTGGCTTGGGAAGCTTTGGCTAGGATGACTAAATGCATGGATGGTGACGCATGATACCAAGTTGGACACCTCTCGTTCAAAATGTCCCAGAAGGCTGTTGCGTCGAATGCTGGACAGCATATAGTGCAACCGCCGGAAAAGATGGGTGCAAGTAAACCTTTCAGAAGCCCACAACTGCTAGGAGTTAGGTCGTATTCGATTTCGATGTTTTGGGCACTTACATTTGATGCAAGGCCATCATGTTGACGCCAATGTCAGTGGGCCCAAGGCTCCAGGTGCCGATGGTAGAAGCGACTTCGACTAACATGGCCTGAGTTGTCAATGGAAGAACATCTTTGCCCCAGGGCCCATTTGTTGATAACACGATTGCAATATCATCCGCTTGATTGGGCTGTGGCTTTGGGAGGCCTGCAGTGTCAATGCGGGCCCCTTTACCGTCTCGAAGTCCGATCTTGTCGTCCGTCCATTCTACCATGATCGCTTTCACACCGACGTTCTGTGTCCAGGACTCAGCGAGAAGAAGGCGACAATAGTCCGATTCGGTCGTCATGATGCAGCGTGCACCAGACTGCACCACGTCAGCTTGAAATTCATCGGGGCCGGTCGTCGGGTCGATTGGCGCCGCTGTGTAGTATGCAGACACAGCAATGCAGACGGCAGCAAGAAGGGGCCCATTTGGAAGCGCAATTGCGATGACTGGCTTGCGGTCGGTGCAGTCGATTGGTAAAGCGAAGTCATTGACAAACTCGTAGAGGTCTCGGTGTGAGATTCTTTGCTTGCCATCGGGAGAGAGAATGGCAGGTCGATCATTTTGGCTCAGCAACTGCAGCATTGAAGTGTGTGACTCTCGGACTAGTTTCTCGGTGTTTTCCATGAGAAGTGCCACGTCTTCAGTTGGCGAAGTGTTGGTCAGAGGCTGAAGTAGACGGGCATGGGTTCGAAGTAGCGCGACGGTTGGCCATGGTCCGGGGATTTCCATGAGAAGCAGACATAAAAGATGAAGCGGACGTTGTGGTGAACTAGAAAGAGGGGGAATAGAAAGCAAAAGAGCTTCTCGGTCTGAAGTGAATCCTCTCACTATGCCCCGAAACCCTGAGCTATGTCTGACATCAGTAGCCGGGAGGGTGTACAGATGTTGCAGGGCAGCGGCAAGTGTCTGTTGGTGCCCGTCCATCTTTGCGGTGGCGACGGGCTTTGATGGTTCAATTCAGGGGTATCGAGGCATGGATTCGGGAATGGGTTGAGTACGCTCTCCTCGGTCTTGCGGTACCAGATCTAAGAGACAAAAAAAATGGGAACTGACCTCGACATATAGCAATGATATCGTGCATCACCGATCGATCGTCCCAATGATCTCACTTACCTGCCAGCATGGGACTGTGGTGAGGAGATTGGTCCTACGGATGGAATGGCCAGGGCATCCCACACCGGGCCGATTTAAAGTCATCGTTGAGTGGAGCAATGGCGTGGAGGGTTCAGCAGCTGGAGACTCATTGACGAGTGAGCGCTGGGCAAGGCAGCTTGTGCTCGTTGGCACTTGGCCAATGCTTCCCTCCGGAATTCACAAAGCTTTCAAGTGAGACAGAAATCGCAAAACTCGAGGTGGCTGGAGCATACGACTCGTCACGATAGCATCGTGAAAGCGGCAAACGCAATGACGAGAAGTCATGTTGTCAAGTTAGCAGGAGAGTTACCTCGGCGCAATGAGGTAATAACATCGAGTAGCCGCGGGCCAGTCGGCGTCAAGAAGCAAGTACTACGTAACAATGTTAGCCCCAATCTCGATAGACGTTACGCTGAGCATTGCCATAACATCAGCGGTAGTCCCCAAAGATCGTGAACTTCTGATACTCAACACTTCTGGTGTTGCGCCTAGAAGATGAAATCCTTCATCCATGACAGTTTGTACCAACAATCATCTTGTGATCCAGCAAGGTCTGCAATACTGGAGTGCTTGCCAGAAAAAATCAATGCATGGCTATGGCTGGGTGGGGGCATCGTAGCTTCAGAAGAATGTGGTTGACTGACGGTCCACCGAGGAAGAGCCGCTCCCCCAGCTGGCAGCGAACCGATTCCAACATGTATGGAGCGCGAGGCTGGGCTTGACAGCACGACTCGTAGAGCTTCAGGTCTGTAGGAAGTTCATGACTGATTAACCCGATTCTGTGAACGAATCCAAACTTCCTGACTGCACATGTGACGATTTGGCCTTCTATTTGGCATGGCGACTCCCGCCAGCTCCGAAGTGAGACATGCCCACCCGCTCGGGAAGCCCACTTAGACCGTCGGCAATCTTCCGCGCTTGGACATCCAAAGGTCCGTGCTTGTACATTCAAAGGTCTGTGCTTGGCCGTTCTCCAAAGTGTCTAAGGACTGGTCCCTAATTTATCGTCCTTTTCGGCCGAGTGGCTTGATGTTCATCGGACCAGGGTCCTTGCTGAGTGGGGGCCCAACTGTAGGGGCACAACTGCCGGTCCAAGGCGAGGAACGGTGATAGGGGATCACCCGTCGGCGTTTCGTTATCGCGCTGCTAGCGAGCCGGGAAGACTGCCGCAGATATTGTCATATGTGACTGTCGGAGGGCATTCTCCATTTGTTCTGGTCAACCCACGGGAATGATGCCTGAGGGTCCATGGTTGATCAAGACCCACGAATTTTGGCAGGTTTTTGTACATTGGAAACCCAAAGGCTCATAGAGAAAGGCGCAAGCCACGCATGGCAGGTATCCCACTATCTTGATGAATTATGGTAATGCATAAACCTGAAATGAAGCTGAAGGGTTTTTGTTCACGACCAAAGCGTGCAAGAAAGGCCTTGCTGCGAATCACTATAGCAATCCCGAAATTGCGCCGATGAATCGATGACTGTATGCTGAAACAGGATGTGCGTTGCGCAGGATGTCTTGAATGACATAACAGATCCAGCTGGCGTTCTCAGGGGGGCTGACCTGGCAGTCTGGAAGGTGGATGTTTGCACCTACGTGCTGAGGCTGGTGTGGCTTTGGATATTTAGGAAGTTTTGATTTCATTGTCAGGGCAAGAGGTCATATGTGGAAGATTGAAGATTCCCCAGCTCTGGACCTCTCGGAACTACCGAGCTGACTGTTGAACCAATATCAGGGGATTTCTTAGGGCGGTGATCTTGGTAGGGGATCACCGATATGGTGATCACCGTGGCTGGGATTCACATCTCCCAAGAGCACGTGAATCACAGCTTACGTGATTAGTGAATTATATGGGTATATCTGACTCACGTAGGTGATGGTAATTCAGAGAGAGAGCATCAATCACATCACGAGACTTATATTACCTACCCCACCTATTCAGAGCTCTCGGGCACAGCCAAAGCAATGAAACGGAGTTCACATAAGCAGTGAAGCCCTCTCAACACTGACCTAGTATACGCGTTTCCACCCTTATACACTTACAGTCGGACAAACAAAGTATAACGCTACCCAATAAAGCATAGTACGCAGACCTCTCAAATTACTAAACTAATAATTAGATCACCTAGGTATGATGTAAAACTAACATGAGAAGCAGAGAAAACAACGCTTGAAGTGAAAACCCTCTGACGCCTTTGCGGAGAGTTTCTGCCCATACTCATAGTTTTTAGCAATTAGTGTCTTATTTTCGAGGCTAACCCCGACCTTAACAGTGCCAAAGAAAGACTTACGACGAGCAAAGGCATTAAGCAACCTGCAAATAAAGGCATTCGTGTCCTTCCGGAATCTGATTTGTATTATCGCTGATGACCTTGTCGATAACACAGACGGCGTATTCGGTAGCCTTCATAAAGCTCTCAGATTGGTGAGGAGTCCGTTCCTAGGCCTTAGGATCAACATCGGCGTACAAGGTGTCGATACCGTACTTAATATTACATATTAAAGAGAACATATCGACGTTGCCGCTAGTTCGGCTCGATAACTCATTCTGAAGAGAATTAAGGCTTTCGTTATCGATCACATCGACGGTTCAAGTTTCAATGTTCTGCTTCATGTGGTTGGTAAGGGTCTTGGGTGATCGAGCAGTTGCAAAATTCGGCAACCCTTCCTTGCAAGATCGAGGGCCAAGGCATTCACAGGTCCAACCTGGGAAGCTCTATCCCTACAGGCTTGTCAGCGGACCATTAGCATGCAGGAAAGGGCAGAGCATGGGCGGTGCGAGGTTCGCGAATCACTTCATAATTTCCAGTACGCACCCGGTAACGAGGACCGTGGGCTTGTTGGGTGTAGACATGATGGTTAGTGTTCGGTAATTTGACTTAGTGTAGTATACTTCAAGTAAATCGCTGAGGAGAGTGAATGAGAGTGTTGGGAATCAAGTCACCCTGCTATCGTTGCCCTGAACCTATCTTCACTCGGGGAACAAGGGAACAATGTTCCTCACCCCACAAGATCAACATGTGCTGATGCCTCATGCATTTGCCCGTGCCCATAGTAGCACTTATACTACCCTTTTGATGTCTAAGTACTTATCACGTGCATTGAGACGATGTTATTTGATATGTCTACTGCAGACCGTCAGAAACAGAGGAAAAGCGTGAGCGTTCTAGCGTTGACTCGAACTGATGAAAAGATTCAGCAACCTGTAGAAGTTGTATGACTCGCCGAGTGAAAACGTGTCTCCTCACTAAGACCCCTAAGGCACGAAAGAAACAGAGTTGAACAGGCCACGTACACTTGTTTGTTAAGACGAAATTTGTGGCTTGAAATTCTTGTCACCAGTGCTCTTTTCATATTCAAGAGGGTAATGTATATCGCTGAAGCGTGGATGAAGTCTCGTAATCTTACTGTTCTAAGCTTTCATGCCACATCCGTTGCTTACCTTCTGGCCGGCCAAGCATCACCTCAACCACCTACACATCGATCGGAGTCGCTCATACTACTGTATTCAATGCAAAGACTAGATTCATTCTTTGGATTTGATCAGAGTCTATTTTTGTCTCAGATGTAAAAGAAAGGAGGCAGAGCATCTTGACCTGAACACGAGCTAGCGTCGTGTGGGAACGAGTAACGAAGAGTTATCTGAACATTGTGTAGAACGTTTCTTGGTCGTCGCATCATATCGTTATGATGACTTAGTGCAGTCGCTGACTCTGAATCCTCAGTACTACTATGCATCGATCTATTCGTAGATGTAGACATTTGTGCAAGAAACATTAAGGTACATCTTACGTCCAATAAGAACCATTCCGAAGTCTAAATATAAATCATAGGTTCTGGGTCGTTCTAACAAGCGAGAAATGCATCCAAAGAGGATCTATTGATATCAGGACTAAGCAAGTACAGGGGAGGGTTTTAGGGCAGGATGAATGCGCGGATATTGAGTGGCTGCAACGCCAAGCTATTAGTCTTTGGAGGATCCTTTGCTGACCATGCCTTTACGAGGCGCATGCTCTGCGCGCAAAGCGCCACAAAAGAATTGTCTATACGCATACGCGTACGTGGTCTCCTGGTGGCGATTTCCCATCTTTAATCAGACGTTTACGCAATTGGACTGTCAAGAAAAACACCCAAGTGACTGGCAATAGTCTTGTAGTCAACAATAGCCATTTCGGCTAGCCTTACATTACCAGTGCGTCCGTCTTGATAATGGCCCATCTCAAATGCTTAATACGCGGATTGACAATGATGGTCACGAGATTGCCAGGAATTACAGGTTCATAAATAGGTCATACCCTTTCCTTCACAATTTGGAGAAGATGCTTACCATCCAGCGTTACATTACTAGACCAACACTACTCAGTTAAATACACCAATATGGTCCACGCAGCCTTCATGTATCTTCTGCTAGCCTGTTCCTTCTTTGGGGTTGTACTTTCTCAAGATCAACAGATTCAATGCGCCAAAGGACTCCAAGTCTTCATTTCCAGAGGTACCAACGAGACTTTAGGTCCAGGTGTATCAGGCGCACTGGGTGAGATCCTCAGGGAAAGAATTCCGGACACACAGGTACATCCTGTTCCGTATCCCGCGTCTTTTTTAAATCCCGACTACTTCACATCCGTTCTAAATGGAACTCTACTTCTGCGAGAAATGATTACCCGATATACCAAAGTATGCCCTGAGTCGAAGATCGCCTTGCTTGGATACTCTCAGGTAAGTGAAAAGCCACAATAAGCTATTTCATCTAAACGACATGAATTGAAAATGCTAATGATAGCGGGTAGGGTGCGCAGATCACAAGTAATAATTTGTGCGGAACTCCTCCTGTTTGGTTGGCAGGGAATCCCTCGCTTGCTCCGCTGCCAAAAAGCATCATCGAGAACCACAGTAATATGAATCCAGTTCTTCAACCAAGATCTGAAACGAAATTGACAGTACTTTTAGTCGTGGCTGTTGTCTTGTTTGGCGACCCTACCTTTCGTTCCGATGACAGCTTTGCGAGAGGGACTGCACAGGGGAGCGGTGTAAGTTCGACGCAAGGCGGATCACCCATGTTAAAGGAAGCGACTAAAGCTTTTACAGATGTTTTTCAGAGGTAATCACAAAGCCTGCAACGCTGTCGGCGACCACATTGCCTCCTACTGTGATGCTGGCGACCCAATTTGCGATGTCGAGTCGGAGGTCACAGAAACTAACATGCACGTCACGTATCTTGAGAGATATCTCGAAGAGTCTGCTGAGTGGGTAGTGGAGCGATTCAGCAAAGGTTCAAGCGAAAGTCCCAGTCCAGGAGGGAATAACGCAACAACATCGGCTGTGGTGGTTCCGAGCACTTTGCCAACTGAACAGTCCAACGCTGCCCGTGAAGTGACGTCCCTTTTGACTGTCTACATACCAGCACTCATGGTTGCTGTTGTCATGAGCTAGAAGTTTTATAGAAATACAAGACATAGGCATGGTATATTGGGAGATTGGCAGCGCCACAGGGAGCTGCTCGCCTCCATCATAACGAGCCCATGTATCCATCGATGGGAGTTCTGGCAGCGTGACCGAGCCGGTTCTGCTGCAGGCATTGTCCAAACCATATCATCCTTGACCCTAATTCTAAAGGATGTCTGTAATTCAATTAAATGCGATTCAACGTTGAGCTTAGTCGCCCGGGGCCGTGGCGTCAGCTAATTCAAGACAAGGCACTGACGTCTGCTCGCGTGACGACACTTTCCTGGATAATTTTCTTGGCGGAAAAGTCATCTTGAGCCTCAGCTCGATAGAGGTTTTCAGAAAGGAATTTCATCCGATTAAGATGCATTGAATGCGTGCAAACAATAGACGAGCCACTCTCCGCAGTGGTATGAGATGCGGGTTAACGGGCTAGATTGAGCAGCAAAGTCTCGAACGCTACTAGTAACCTGCTATTTGGCAGCTAAATTGAAGAAAAATACATTGCAGTCCGTGTCAAGAAGCCCAGATGAGGTAAACAATGGGAATTTAATGAAGTCTCGCGTCTTCTCCCTACAACCATGGGCTCACTTCTTGAATGTCCAATCCCAAAGTCTCGTGGCCAGCAACATATTACAAGCGAACTAGAAGGAGACGGCGGCGCGGCTCGTTCCACGATCCACAAGATTCGCAGATACGGCAAGTCTTCAAGTGATCGATTTCCGTATTGATGGGTACAAGTGGGGTACTCTGGGCACAGGCCCGCCGTCGGCGGCCGTCGGCCTGAGATAAGTCGGGCTTCAACCCAGTAAAAAACCAGTGCTCATAATCTGCATAGGGTGGCGCTAAACTGCCTCTTGCCGACTCGGCTTCTTGCACTTCCTAATACCGGTGGTCCCCAAAAAAAGACTTGAAGCTGTAGACCCACTCTTGAAAATAATTTTCCATTTGACATCGAATACTGCGCATGGAACATTTTTGTACCCGTTTCTCAACTTTTTGTCACGAACGGCAACATGGTAGTGACACGAGCAACTGATACGAAAGGCAAGTCATCAATCTAGGTTAATACTGAATTTTAATCACTGACTGAAAGGATAGTGGGATTTTTCTGGGGTGACATCAGTAAAGAAGAGAAGAAACTGCTTCGTAAATTAGGTAAGGCCAGTCGTTGCTGATAAGAATCTTCCGTACTAAATCTCAATCCTTAGATTTTTTTATTCTTGTGAGTCGATTGATTGTCGATCCACGAATGGAAACTGAGTAGCCAGACTTTCTGTTGCTTTAGCTTCTTTTTCAACCACCTGGGTAAGCTTTTTTTTCTATGACAAACAAAACGCACAGACTAAGGAGCCATGTGTAGACAGATCAGCATTCGCCAATGCCTATGTAAGCTCATACGAAAGAATCTATCCTGATGATAAACTGATTGTTTCTTTGCAGGTTGCCGGTCTCAAGGAGGAGCTTAATCTCGAAGGCAATCAGTACAATGTCCTTCTCTCCATGGCCTCTGCAGGGTAAGTCTTTCTGAGAGCATCTTTCAAATCCGTTTAAACAGAGTGGAACAGCATGTTAGTCGGCCAGATACCTAGCAGCATTATCATCCAGAAAGTCAGGCCTCGTTTCTGGCTCTCCTCCATGGTTATCGTCTGGGCTGGTTGCACAATGGCAAGCGCTGCCTGTAAAACCTTCGAGCAACTTTGCGCTGTGCGCTTCTTTATGGGCCTCGCCGAGGCAAGCACTTACGCGGGTTCCATCTACATCATGGGATGCTGGTAGTACGTAGTGTTCTATAACGCATAAGCCAGAATGCTGATAAACGATAGCAAGTCCAATGAACTCGCTAAGAGAGCGGCTACTTTTACTGTTGCTGGTCAGGTTGGCAAAATGTTCGCCGGTGCCATGATGGCAGCGATTCATGAATCCATGGATGGCTACGCTGGGCTTGCAGGATGGCAATGGGTGTTTTTGATTGACGGCATCATAACATTTCCAGTCGCCATATTTGGCTTCTTCCTTTTCCCCGACATTCCGGAAATCACCGAGGCATTCTACTTGAGTAAAGAGGAACGCCAACTTGCACTTGATCGTCTCCCTCCAAAGAAAGAAGACAGCCATAACATACAGGCGTGGAGCTTAGCAAAACGAGTTTTGGGTCAACCCATCTTGTGAGTTGCACGATCCTGCCCATGAATACTGACTGACTACAGAAAGCTACGTTTGCTGTGTATTTTCCGCCCTATCTTCAGCGATGCAAGGCTATATTGTACAAGGCCTCATGCTCCTCTTTATGAAAAGTCATCAAAAGTCAAACTCTTTCACGCAGTCTCAAGTCAACACATATCCTATCCCAACTCATGCTATTGGCATTGTGGCAGAGCTAGGGGCTTCGGTTATCATTGACCGCTATGACAGGCGTGTCAGCATCGGTCTGGTCATTTGCCTGGTTCAAATTGCCTGCTCGATCGTCCTCTTGGTGCCTGGGATGTCTTTGGCCGGGAATCTCACGGCATTCTACCTTTCGTCAACATCATATGGTATAAACCCCCTGCTTTACAGTTGGTCGAGCAACATTGCTGCAAGAACAGCGGATGATGCAGCACGAAGCGTCATTCTTGCGTCAATGGCAGCAAGCGATGGTCTGCTATGGACCTTCTGGGGCATCGTTTTGTACCCTGCGAGTGATGCGCCATACTGGCGGACTGGATACATTGCAATGATTTGTGTCTGCGTCGTCCTTAGTTCATGGCTCTTTCTTGTGCGCTGGGTAAGTCATGTACCCTCTTGACGTTGGACCAAACTGACAAACGAAAGTTGGACCGGTACACCGCTCGCAAGCATCCGGCTCCAGTCCGGCTACTCAATGCAGATTCATCCATCATACCTTCTTACAGCTCGACAAACGAGAAGAAGGTTTGAGAGGCGTCAACCAAAGATGAGTGTTACGATTGCCATCTAGATGATACATTTTCATCACGTACGACCAAAACCCCGACTAGACTCCAGCCTCGCACGGTACATCCTGAAACATCAAGAAGGGTTCGACGGTTCGATTAATCATACGGATATGTAGTCGGAAGTGAAATAACCAGATCTACTTTCAAGACATTGATTGAAACCAAGCGCAAGATGCACCCAAATACAGCGCTTGTTATAGTCCATCTCGTATGGCTTTCCTCGCACCGAGGGGCAATTTCATGTGAATTGTGCGCCAGACTTCATCGTGATCATCCCTGCAGATAGTTTCGAAACCGTTGCGCTCCCAAAATGTGAAAGCGCCGGGCAAAAAGGGGTGTGTGTGCAAGTAGAACTGTGTAATGCCAGCTCCACGAGCAGTTTCCTTCAGAGCGCCAAATAACTGTGAGGCCAACCCACAGCGACGAAGGTTCGAGTTGACGTAGAGTCTCAGGACCTCAACAGTACGGTCTTGGTTGAGTTGAAAATGCGAAAAACGGTTGTCGTAAGGGACGTACCCGATGGTAGCCACGATAGTTCCTTCTAGGCGAGCGACGAGGAAGGCCCCATCTGGATGATCGATGAATAACTTCTGAAACCCACCGGCTAGCTCGTTCTTTGCATGATTTTCGTGGGATGCTGCATCAAGCATGGTAAACATGTCTGCTCGGGCCGTCTTGGTAAATGCTACTATCTCGGGGATGTCTTCGGGTGTCGCTATGCTGATCCCGACACCTTGTTGTTCCAACGTCGTTGACAGCATATTTAGTTGTCGATCTGCTGGATTTGGGACTGGGCGTTGAACGATTGCGGCAAAGTACGTGGGCAGCGAGCTTGCCAGCAACATGTTGAAGCCCAAGATTCGCTGCGAGATCGGTCTGCTTCTTTTTACATCATGCAAAACTTGAAACCGGCTGAAAGAGGCATAGTGCAATTAGCTGCGCCACGGTAACTTAGCCGCGATAACGACCCGAGCTACTGAATTACGCGCCTGACAGGCTTGGGTGTCTTCCAATGTGAGGAATTTGCATCACTCGATGCTGGACCGGCTGCCTGCCTGCTGGGATGTTTGTATCCAGAACTGAGCAATAATAACTGACGAAGGCAGAGAGTTTCTTATGAATGGGCACCCTTTCCAGTCCAGGCACTGAGGAAACCAAGGCCCCGCCAGAGAACAGACATTGGTCCGTGCCATTTATTACAGTAGGTGCTGTTCTCGCCATGCTTGGTAAGCAGTTCAGCTAGGCTGCTAAAGTCTTGGCACTACAGAAGCCTGGATACTTGATCGTACCACGGAGGTCATGTCCTTCACGGGCGGCGTCGATGGAGGAGGTATGGCTGGGGCGGGCAAGGTAGGTCTGCGTCAAAGCGAGGTCGACACCCAAAAAGATCAGCAATATGGTTTCGCCATTTTAGTCAGACTTTTCATGCCCCGGTTTGCACCAGTGATCAGGACAATGGTCGTCGTGGCCGCGAGATGAGAAATGATGCACAGCGTTCAACGCTCGGCGATTGGAGTGGATCTGGCCGCAGTCCCTGTCCCCTTTTCATTGAAACTGCCCATGAGTGTCGGTTGAATCACGACCTGATCATGATGAGACGTCATGATGGGCGTTGTGTTTTGTTCAAGGCTAAAGCCAGCATGCTAAGGTCCGTTCCAGACTTGAAGGCCACACCACTGGAGAAGGTGTCTACATGGTGCATCAGCATCGTGACTCGAACATGCTATCTCAATGAACATCGGACTCGCAATTGCGGACTGAAGACTTCATTGTAAGAATGCTCGATTTTCTATCGCGGTGATCCTTACATGCAGATAGAGAATTTCGTCGTCAGGGGGGGGGGGGATGCAGCGCCAAATAACCCAAAGTCCGCTGTTGGTGTTCAGGCAGCGGTGCCAGACGAACTTGCTCCGGTGCTCCGTTGCGGCGAAGTTGATGTGACATTGGCCTGCATTTGGGATCCGGGTCGCTGCAGAATGTACATCGCACCATGACTGAAGTGTAATGTATATGCATCCTCTCCATTACACTATTGATTCCTTCAATATATGGCAACCGGAGTGCCCGGATTGGCCGGGCGCATGATGGCCCACATACAGGCGAATGATGAACAAGGTGGTGGAGTGCCGATGCACCACAGCCGAGAACTTTCCTCAGCATACGCAGCTTTCTACCATAAGACGAACCCAAAGATTGTTTTTGGTGACGTTTGTGACGGAGACTGGTGATCGAAATTTGAATATATCTTGCATCTGTACCGCCTTACCATTCGTCACATGTCACTAAAGGACATCCTCAAGCGAAAACCCTTTGCTGACTGTGGGCTAGGCCGAAATGGTAGAGCATAGTACTCTCCTCTTGACTTCGACGTGTCTCGGCTTGAGATAAGGGTTAACGGAACGGAGGTGCAGTTATGAGGGAGATTTCGCGACTAGGCCCGAACCGCCACACCTTAGAGTCCAGACAGGCTTTGGGTCCGACTCGGCGTAATAAACAAACGAGAACGAACGAGTCTAAGATTCCATCACAATGGGTTTACAATGCTTGAATATATCTGGAAGGATAGAGATGTCTCCATAGAAGAGTCATCTTTTCTGATATCTACACAGTCTCCGCCCCTGCAAGTTGATCAGAAGAGGACGGAGTTCAATTGTATGATTCCGTCCAGTTCGATTGAAGTTTCTTGTTCGACGTCTCGGCCACAAAGCTCGCGACTAGGTCCTTCGGCTTAAGTTGCAAAATAGCACCCACTATAGCTTCCTAGCAGCGAACAGAGCTGATCCTGTCGTTGAAGGAGGCCGGAATAGTGGCTTGGACGCCATTTCCAACGTACGATCCACCACCACAGAACCCGTCGCTGTCATAGAAGGTTGTATTAGTTACGCAATTCCTAAACATATGTCACAGCTCGCAAAACAGGCAGCAGAGTATCAGGATAAGATTGGGGCTTACACAAAGAAGGTGCACGGTCCACTTGTAACAATGGAGCTCGTTCTATCATTATAATCGGCAGGGACGTTCCCTGCGAGAGGACATGTTAGAAATGCTACAGCGCAGAGCTTGGGTAAAGCAGCCTCGAACATGATATGGACTCACAGCAGGAACCAGGGGTAAGACCTGCTTGGAAGCAACCGCCCCCGAAGTTCGAATCCTTGCAGATGCGGACGTCAACGGCTCTGGCAACGGCCAAGAGACTGGCAAATGAGATCAGAAGCTGAGTTGGCTGCATATTGAGATGAGGAGGATGTAATGGCAGAGAAGAATGGGTTGATAGTGTGATGAGAGATGTGTTTTGGGGCTTCACGCTGAGAGGAATCTCGTACCTTTTTATACTTGACTGACCTGCATGGCATTCCAGTCAAATGCTTGAATCTGTTCGTATACCACACAAGAAGAGATGACAAGGGAATCTGCTTAGCCGAGGTATGATCGAGACTAGATCAGGAGCCCCTGATTGCATCCAGACGAAGCTGTGCATGGGTGTATGCATGTCCAACGACGGGAGCAACACAAATATAACCCTTTTTAGGAAGGTAAATTCGCAATGGAATAATACGCTCAAGACTGCATGGCAGCAGTTGGGCCAGACTCTGGCACTAGGCCCGAATTGCCTTTCGGTGATACACCGCTCGCTGACATCTAGAGGACAACTGTGGTCACTACAGATGCTTCTAGTGTGGTCTCGCCAGTTGTGAGTGCTATTTACAGCACGTC